ACAAAGCGAAGGTTGGAGACTGGGCGATAGTTGGCCAATACATCTGGGTTCAGGGAAGGCTTCTTAAGGAGGGGCCTCACCACCGCCTCTTTGAGGGCCGTGGGAAAGGCACCCTCCCACAGAGAAGCGTTTATAATTCCCTGAAGCCAGGCTCGTGTGCCCTCCCGAGCCGCCAGTACCAGCCAGGAGGGACACGGATTTATGACGGTCACAGTGTCCCAGGGTCATGTGAAGTGACCAAAACCTGCTGCAACCACTCAGCAGATGGGGAGGAATAAAAACCAAACACCCCCCACCCCATCCCCGCTGCCAATCCTCAACAGAAATGCTCACAACAATGAAAACCTCGGACAGGAGGAAGAGCGCCGCTGGGTGGGCAGGCAGGTGTCTTGCTCGGCTGTGGCTTGGGGGGCACTTTTTTCAGTGCTATTGTAACTTTGAACAGTCACTAAGCAAACTGTTGTAAGTCGAGGACTACCTGTACTTTATCACTTTTTTCCTTTTTTGGGGGGGGGGTCATCAGGTTTTTGACACCTTGCTAGGCGACTGGTGGTACTCGGATATTGCCATATCCTAAAAGTGGTACAATGGGTGAAAAGGTTGAAAAGCCCTGGACTAGATGACCTCCAAGGTCCCTTCCAACTTTACTATTATTATTATTATTATTATTATTATTATTATTATTATTATTATTATTATTATTATTATTATTATTATTATTATTAAAAATAAATATAAGGTGAACGTAACAGGAACATCTCTGAAAAGCAAAGCGACTGACAATTATATATGACAGCAGTTAGGATCTGGAATCAATTAGCGGTAAGAGTGGCGCAAATTATATAGCTAATCCTTCCAGAAAAACAGCAACGTATACGCACGTACAGGAATATTTCGAAGCAACTGTCCACTACAAGACTTTTCCACGAGAAGCGTCTTCTCCAGAAGTAAAAACTCTAAAAGGGAATAAACAGGGAGAGAAGTCAGAACACTGCATTATGACAGGGATGTGGGAAGGGGTGTGCAAGACCGGGTTCACACTGGCTAATTGTTAATTTTGGGGAGATTTTGCAAGGCTCTTGAGAGTGGAGATGAGCTACTTCCACCTAGCGTGCCAGTCTGCACTTAGATAGGAGCCAGCAGTGTGCTGCAGCTGCCAAAAAAGCCAAAACAGTGCTAGGCTGCATTAACAGAGGGATAGAATCAAGATCACGTGAAGTATTAATACCACACTTTACAAGGCCTTGGTAAGGCCACACTTGGAATACGGCATCCAGTTTTGGTCACCACGATGTAAAAAAGATGTTGAGACTCTGGAAAGAGTGCAGAGAAGAGCAACAATTTTCCAAAGCGCCTGAAGGCAGGACAAGAAGCAACGGGTGGAAACTGATCAAGGAGAGAAGCAACTTAGAACTAAGGAGAAACTTCCTGACAGTTAGAACAATTAACCAGTGGAACAACCTGCCTCCAGAAGCAGTGAATGCTCCAACACTGGAAGTTTTTAAGAAGAGACTGGACAGCCATTTGTCTGAAGTGGTATAGGGTTTCCTGCCTGAGCAGGGGGTTGGACTAGATGACCTCCAAGGTCCCTTCCAACTTTATCATTATTATTATTATTATTATTAACAAAGATGATTAGGGGACTGGAGGCTAAAGCATATAAGGAACGGTTGCTGGAATTGGGCATGTCTAGTTTAATGAAGAGAAGGACGAGGAGGGACAGGATAGCAGTCTTCCAATATCTCAGGGGCTGCCCCAAAGAAGAGGGAGTCAAGCTATTCTCCAAAGTGCCTGAAGGCAGGACAAGAAGCAACAGATGGAAACCGATCAAGGAGAGAAGCAACCTAGAACTAAGGAGAAACAATTAGAACAATTAACCAGTGGAACAACCTGCCTCCAGAAGCGGTGAATGCTCCAACACTGGACGTTTTTAAGAAGAGACTGGACAGCCATTTGTCCGAAATGGTATAGGGTTTCCTGCCTGAGCAGGGGGTTGGACTAGATGACCTCCAAGTCCCTTCCAACTTTATTATTATTATTATTATTATTATTATTATTATTATTAGTTCATGCCATGGCATGGTGGCAGCAATCTGTTGAGAAGAGGGCTTCTTAAACCTTTAACTGCAGACCGCTGGTCCCATATCAATTGCAGAAATGCAAGTATGAATACAGGTAGTCCTCATTTTATGACAATAGGGACCAGAAAAATGTGTCGTTAAACAGTGAGGTTGTTAAGCGAGACACCCCACGATTGCAATTTACCATCTTCCCTCCTGAATGTCGATGGAGATTCTCTGTCCTCCAGGTTCATGGTTGTCCCAAAGGTGCTTTTTTCAGGAGGCCACTGGACTTTCTTGTTTTTTTTTGAAGACGTTTCACTTCTCCTCCCAGAAGCTTCTTCGGCTCTGACTGGGATGGTGGGGAGTGGAAGGATTTATACTCCTTGCAGACAACTGGTCATTTGCCTCCTTTTAGAGAGTCGTTGAGGCCACTTGGAGGTTTGTCTGTGTCCTCCGGGTCCCCTGAGTGGGTGCAAATGGGTGTGGAGCCTTCTTGGAACTGCGGAAAGGACCGTGTTGTAGTTACTAGAAGAGAGAGTCTGCTCCAAGAAGTTCCAAGTTCCAAGAAGTTCCAAGTAGGCTCCACACCCATTTGCGCTTCTCAGGACATAGATAAACCTCCAGGTGGCCTCAACGACTCTCCAAAAGAAGGCAAAGGACCAGCTGTCTGCAAGGAGTATAAATCCTTCCATTCCCCACCATCCGGTCAGAGCTGAAGAAGCTTCTGGGATGAGAAGCGAAACGTCTTCAAAGGAAAAACAAGAAAGTCCAGTTGCCTCTTTAAAAAGCATCTTTGGAACAATCTTCCCTGCTGGCTTTGACTTTCCTTGTCGGAAGCTGGCTGGAAAGGTCACAAGTGGTGATCACATGACTCCCCCCCCCCAGGATGCCGAAACCATTATAAATACACGCCGCTACCTAAAACTGCAATCTTCCGGTTGCTACGACAGTCATCAGTGCAAGTAAGACGCTTCTTCAGTGCTATTTTAACTTCAAACTGTTCTTAAACAAATGGTCGTAAGTCAAGGATTGCCGGTACGTGGAGTTATGACAAGCACAATGCTGCAAACGCTGTTTGCAGGAAAGGCATTCCAGCTTGACCACAATCGGGACTACAATTTCCCTTGCTAAGCAAAACGGTGGTTAAGTGAATCCCGCCCAGTTGTATGAACTTTTTTTTTTGCCACGGTTAAGCGGCTCGCTGCAGTTGTTCAGCGAATCACGTGGTCATTAAGCGGATCTGGCTTCACCCGCTGACTCTTTTTTTTGTCAGAAGCCGGCAGGGGAAGTCTCAGATGGCGATCACGTAACCCCGAAATGCTGCAACCGTCGTAAACACACATGCTGCTAGCTAAAGTTGCAACTTAACAGTTGCTGCAACCAGTCAGCAAAGTCATAGGTGCCAGTAAGACCCCTTTTTTTCACTGCTGTTTTAACTTGGTTTGTTAAATGAATAGTCGTAAGACAAGGACTGCATCTATTAAAAATATGTTTGTGGTTAGAGGAGCTGTGAACGAAAAGGACACCTTACCTGAGCAATGAGGAGATAAATGCC